GGGTCCCAGTTACATCCAACAATAAAATGTATAAGAAAAACAGTAATAACATCTAAGATATGAACTAAGAAAAACATCAACTAAATATACACTAAGCACTCATAACATAAAACATTGAACATCAGCACAAACATGAACATGAGTCTGTGAGCAGATGTGCACGCATGAACACATCACATCACGTATATATATATATATGTATATTTAGGGGAGTGGTGGCGCAGAGGTTAGAGAGGTGGGCTTGTGATCCGAAGATCGCCGGTTCACGCCCCGGCCCCGGCAACATCAAAATTGTGGGTGGGGTAGGTGAAACACCCACACTTGCCCCCACCCTCATTCGCCCCACTCTGGGCCCATGAGCAAGGCCCTTAACCCCCACCATGTGCTCCCTAAACAGGTCTCTCTTGAAAATGAGTTCTCGTGGCTCAATGAGACTAACCTGGATAAATAAAGGCTAAATGAAAAAAAAAAAAAAAAAAAAAATGTATATGTATGTATATATATATATAGATATGTATATGTATATGTGTGTATTTATATATAGATATGTATATGTATATATGTATGTATATGTATATATATATTTATATATAGAGCTGCTGCCTCTCAGCGAGCAGGTCCCTGGTTCAAACCCCGGTCCAGGGGCCTTTCTGGGTGGATTTTGCATGTTCTCTCCGTGCATGTGTGGGTTTTCTCCGGGTACTCCGGTTTCCTCCCACAGACCAAAAACGTTGGTTACGTACTGTAACCCCAGATTCTATGAGTTTAGGCGTAGCCCTTTAAGGCTGTCGCTTAGTGGGTTTATCCCGTTATGCGGAGCATTTGCACTGAAAAATTTAGTCCATGCCCACCTGCTGTGTGGGCCCCACCCGGTCCGTATAAATTACGTTAAGAGCGGGAAATCGGCTCCCAAAATAGCTTTTTTCTTCAGCCATTTAGGAGCCAGTGAGGCCCGACGCTTAAAGGGCTACGCCTATACTCATAGAATGTGGGGTTACAGTACGTAACCAACGTTCTATTTCGTATAGGCTTCGCCCTTTAAG